TAAACACCAAACATTGAAATGTGGTGAACTTGCTAACATATCGTTAGCTCGTCGGCGTCGGCCGCGCGCCTCCTCTCTCGACTAACTTCATACCTAACGTGACCATATGTCCCACTTTAGGTGGGACGTTCCCGATTTAAAGGTTGTGTCGCGCTATCCCCAAAATACGTAAAAATGTCCCGCTTTGACCAACAAAAGCGTGATAATCATGCAAACCCTGTCACCCGTGCCATCATTATGACACCGCGCGTACCAGGTTTGCATGGCTTGTCTAGTTACGTGATTATTCTGAAAAGCTACACTTTTAAATTTAAAGTTACGAAGTGACAAGTTTTAATTAATCTACAATAAATTATCAAATAACATAATATATTTCCAATTAATATTTATTTGATGTTCAGAATTCACTTTTGATCGTTAAAAGACTCAAACAACTATGTGTTTTATTTGTAAAACTATATTAAAGGGTTCCAGATTGAATTTTGGTAACGGCGTAAGTATAATTCTAACATATACAATAAGTGTAGTACTACTGCTACTGAGAATTTTGTGACGGAAAAACCCAATAAATGATTCTGACCCGACTCGGGTTTCGAACTTGGGACCACATGATCAGCAATTGCGTTTACAACCGTTAGACCAAGAAGACAGTCAAAAGTGTTAGAACTATAATAATTTTAAAGGCGTCCCGCTCTGAGGAAAAAAATAATGGTCACTAAAAAGCCGGGCTTCTTATCTCCATACTAATTACTATTTATACATTCGTATTTATATTTCATTAAAGAACATTTTGCCACATGTTAGAAAGGGAGCGATCTCCTTCTCGAAAGCCCGGTAAAAAGCCCACGTGTGCGAGGGAGACAACCAATGGCTCAATTCAACTCTTCTTATATGTATGACAGCAGTATTCGTAAGGCTACGAGGTCGAACAGAGTGCGCGGGAATTTGAGTTTGAAACAGTTTACCAGTTATTTTATTACTTTATATAATTGATTGATTCATCTTAATGAGGCAAGCCGGGCTTTTGGGCTTGTATAGAAGCTTCGCCACTGGTCTGGAGTTCTGTAACAGCAGACAATAATATAATTTAATTCTGGTAACGGTATACCACAACATTCAAGGTGTTTATCTAAGCTTAATTGATTTATACAGGGAAGTGAAATAAAATCTATACTATTTTTAATATAAATACGGACCCCTCTTCTAGACTCGTTTCTACAATATGAGTCAGCAACTTTATAACCTGGAATTTGTAAAAATTTAAAATCTTGGTTCTTTAAAAAAGTCTCCCTAACACACATCATATCAATTTTTCCCATAGTTAATGGAACCTCTATCTGGCTGAGTTTAGATCTCATGCCCTGAATATTCTAGTGAAGTATATTAAGACAGTAGAACTTTTTCTGTTTGCATATTATTTAGTTTATTGTTAATATCCTGTGAAGGAACGAAAGGAGCGACAAGATGTCAATATTTCCTTCACCGGACTAACAGGACAAGAGGTACTTTTAAAAACAGTATATGTGTGTAACTGTTCTGTTGCAATATTTGACATTAATTTATTTAAGTCGTTCAAGATAATACGAACACCATTTATATTTATTTTGCCTGAGTATTTCGAAAACATAGTATATGAATATTCTAAATATTTGTTAGAGTCCAGTATACAGCAGTATTTGTGTACTTTATTATTTGAGTATAATAATTTTTTTGTTAGAAGGTTGAGTATTAGTGATGTTGTTTTACCCTTCCTATAAATTAATGAATTGTTCAATTCTTTTATTGAAGAATTAGAATTATAGCAATATTTATATGTCGGTAAACAAATAATAATGTTTGTGTGTTGTACAGTCAGGATGCGTTGCTTTAAGCTATATACAATATTTTTATATTTTTTGGAAACTTTAAAATCAGTATCTTCTATCATAAGTATGCAAAAATCGTTAAGAGTGAAGTTAGCTAGCTTCTCCTGCAACCCACGTGATACCTAGGCTGCACTGAAAGTATCGGGAATGGAATATTTCCGCTGTTCCTGTCATATTAAAATCTTTTTTTATTGAAAACTCCTTGGTTTTAAAAATCGAATACCATTTATTTATTTAAAAAAAAAGATTCTCGGTCTTGTCACAAGGTTTTGTCAAACTTGTTTAGTCGTTGAGAAAATGGAATTGACTCGAGAAAATTCAAGAGGGATGATTTATTATGACTTTCGAAGTGGTTTAACACAAAAACAGTGTGTTGACCGGATGATTTCTGCATTTGGTGATGAAGCCCCATCCAAAACCACAATTTATCGCTGGTTTGCTGAATTTTAACGTGGACGTGTCAAGCTCAGTGATGATCCCCGTCAAGGTCGTCCAAAAACTGCAGTCACCCAAGAAAACGTTGATGCTGTGCGTAAGCTGATTGAGGAAGATCGACATGTGACATACCGCGTGTGTTTTCTGTACGATTCGCTCTGTGAAGAGCAAAAAGCGGTTCGCGTTACTTGGTGCGTGAGAGCTCTCGAAAGATTCCACGCAGGTTCCTCAAATGCTATATACAACATCGTATCAGGTGACGAATCCTGGATATATGCGTACGAACCCGAAACAAAAAACCAGTCACGAATTTGGGTGTTCGAAAATGAGTTAAAGCGAACAAAAATTGTTCGTTCACGGAGTGTTGCAAAAAAAATGGTGGCCACGTTTGTCTCCAAAAATGTTACGACTATTCCTCTTGAGGGACAAAGAACAGTTAATGCAGAATGGTATGCTAGCATTTGTTTGCCACAGGTCGTTTCTGAACTCCGTAAAGAGAACTGCAACCGTCGCATCATCCTCCATCACGACAATGCGAGTTCTCACACCGCACACAGAACAAAAGATTTTTAGAGCAAGAAAACATAGAATTATTAGACCATCCGCCGTACAGCCCCAACCTAAGCCCTAATGATTTCTATACTTTCCCTAAAATAAAGAATAAATTGCGTGGACAGATATTTTCATCACCTGAAGAAGCTGTGGACGCCTACAAAACGGCCATTTTGGAGACCCCAACTTCCGAATGGAATGGTTGCTTCAATGATTGGTTCCATCGTATGGAAAAATGTGTCAAATTTCGCGGAGAATACTTCGAAAAGCAATAAATACATTTTTAAATAGTAATGTTGTGTCACTTCCTTGATTCCCGAAATTTTCAGCGCCATCCTCGTAGGTGGTCTATGTCGCCACCTGGTGTGCGATAGTGACAGTATGCGGCGCTCTGCTCCATCATGTTGTCTCTTATTATTGAAGATTGCTTGTGGTTACTTATACCGCTGATTCTACATATATTGGGCTTAGTGTTAAATGTGTGCGTCTCTGTATAATTCATAGGCTTTGAACTATCGATTATGTTATTTCTTGAGGTGAAGTCCCTTTTATTCGCATGTATTGGATTGGCAATGTGTTTTTTATTACAGTCTTCTGGCAATGGAAATTCTTTTTTTGTAAGAGGGATACTTCTTAACTTTTTCAGACTGATTACCGAGCGGGGTTGCCATACATGGGTTAGTTAGAACTTTACTAGGATTTAATTCGTCTACATTTATAGTTTTGTATAATTCTATAATTTTCTCTTGCTCCTGATTTTTTCTTATTTAGTTCTGTATTTATTGCGTTTAAGTTTTTAATTTCATTGTTAGCTATGTTGAGTTCTGTTTGCAATCTCATCAATTCCAATTTTAATACTTGCAAATTATCACTAGTAATTATTTGACTGAGATCTGGAAGACTATTTGAGTTTCTTGACCAATACGATTTAGACAGGTTTTCTTGGGACGTCTGTTTTTGTTTTTTTCTTTGAGTAATATAGTATATAGATTCTTGTGAAGTTTCTGTATCTATGTCACTGAGAGAATGAAAAGAATTTTCAGTAAGAATATTTACATGTATTGTAGTAGGAGCTGGTGTTTTATTGTATGTACAACCATCGCATTTCAGTTTATTTCTATTTTCTGTAGCCATTAAGTAGAACCTTTTCTCTCCTGTACTTGTACATTCAATGTGATAAAAGTTCTGGCAACTGCCGCAAGTTATGAAATTCCTTCTAATAATATCCTTTTCACACTTATCACATTTTAATGCCATCTTGAGCAATGTTAAACGAGAAAAAATAAGGAAATATAAGAATATTAAAAAAAAATTAAAAATTGATTTGTAAGAAGGGTGGGATTTCGAACCCCGATTACTCGGTAATAACGTTCGTACTTATTCATCGAGGCCGTACAGACAGTCGCTATATTTTTGAACAATGCAATAATAAATATACGTATAGCAGACTTAGGTAACAAACCAAACAATAAAAGTAACCGATAAGACAGTTTAAAAAAGTACACCAATCACAAGCCACTACATAGATGCGCACAGAATTTTATTTTGTAACGACTTTTTCAAATATAATTTTTTAGTTTTTGATTCAATAACTTGTAGTTTATATTGCTCACAGTTAGAACTAGTTAATATTTATGTTTAAGAACACTTTATGATAAATTTTTGGTCATAGATTGTTTATTGGTGAAATTCAAAGTACACACAGTTTTTTCCACTTTTCTCTATTTAGTTTTCATAACAAATGTAAATAACATTTATTGAGCGTAACTGTATTGTTGACTAGGTTTCACATACAATAATTAATATTAACACACTTATATTATTTTAATTATGAATCTAATGCGGAGCAAAGTTTTACTTAGGAACGCCACATCTGTGTCCGTCCGTGTCCGAACCGTGACCACCGTTCTGACCGTGTCCACGAGCTCTTGACTGTACAATAAATAAGACATTGAATTGAAGATTTTTTTGAGTCTCTAGGGAGGGAGAAGGGGCAGCTGCCCTTCTCACCCTCCCCCTTAAACCCATACAGACTGTATAATTAATAAAACACAATATTTAATCCAAAACAGAATTAAATACACACTTGCTAACAAAAATTTAATTTACAAATGACTAACTAATAGTATTTTACTTCCACTATAAACTTCATTTTTCGCTAACAAATCCAAGAGGAGGAAATTTTTCGAGAATAGGTCCCATTGACGACGGATAGAAAGCCAAGAATTTAAATCTTTCGCCCATTTTCTTCGGATCAATAAGCATATCGTAGGTGCACTTTAATTTTTCTTTCTCTTCTTCTGTCTTGGCATTGTCCATTAATACCTGACAATATGACACATCATGAATTATTAAGCCAGTCATAAAGTAAAATAAATTATACCAATTTATAATGTTATGCGGTTACTGAAATTAAACATCATTATTTTAAAAAGTAATTATTCTTAACTAATGGTGCTGAATTTCACGGATAAATGAATGGACATTTTTCTATTTCTTCACTAAGACCATAATAGTCTAGTGGTGACTCATTGCTTTGCTGATTTGCTTCAATTGCCTTAATCAGAAACAGTTTGGTGATACCAGCAGGGTTAGCCAAGTTGACTTTCTACAAAAGTAAAAGTAATAGAAAACTATAAAAATGAATGAGCATATCATAACATTAAGTCCCCTATTTTGCTACCACCAAGGGTGAAAATTTTACACCTAATGGTAGAATTTTATTGCCAAATTTAAATGGCACCACTATTGAGGTGTATTCTGTTCAGTAAAATAAAAATCATTAAAGTTGGTTCACAATCAGTGAAGATATTGCATAACACACATACTAAAAAACAGTCGAATTTTTTGAGGTAGGTTAATACGAGGGGCGTTCAATATATTCTAGTATGGGTATATTAGAAAAAAGGTATATATAGGTATATTATAAGGATTGATGAATGGGAGAATATAGTTTCAATATATTCTCCCACACATCAATCTATTTACTTGTTTGTAAAAAAAACTTTTCCATTCCCTTGAAAAAATATTCTTTGTCTTGGCCTAAAAATGTTACAGCAGACTTGAGCTCATTATTATCAGCAAATTGCTGTCTTCAAAGTTCTTTTTTTAAGTTTGGGAATAAAAAGTAGTCACTAGGGGCTAGATCTGGGCTGTATGGTGGGTGGTTAATTTCCTCAAATCCGCAGTCTCATACAGCAGCCCTGGAGAGCCTTGCCGTATGAACTGGTGAGTTGCATGACTCAATGAAGCAGCACTCCCTTGGTCAGCTTTTATCTTCTCTTTTCTTTTATTGCTTAAGTCTCTCAAACGGCGTAAAGTGGCAAAGTATTTGTCTGTATTGATAGTTTCACCTCTTTTTTATGTACTCTATCAATAGTATTCCTTTGAAATCAATCACTGTGGCCTCGTATTTAACGACCGATTGTTGACTTTGAACTCCTTGGGGGGTTCCCTATCGTTGATGTTTTTTGAGTACTTCTTTGTTTAGTAAGGAATTTAATCACCGCACGGTGTTCTATTTTTTTTCAACATTGTCGATTCAGTCATTCCCATTATCTATGACTAAAGTAATGAAGTTAACAAGACGAAATTTTATACCCTCAGATAGTGTCCTCCGATAGTAAATTATTAGCTAATCACTCTTATACCGAGAATACATTGAACACCTCTCGTAATTGAGTTCAATTTAACAAAATCACAAATTGTTACCTGTAATCTAGCTTTGGCCTGTAACCTTTCAAGAAAGTCCTTCTGCTGCACAGGGCCAGCCACCACAGCATAGTTCTCTTCACCCGGCGTCTTCGATGCTGCTATCCGTAGCTGGCTAAAATCCACATCTGCGGTGAGGTCACATTCGCCAGGCTTTTCCAGAGGATGTACAACTTTGTGTTTGTGAAATGCCTTTAAAAATAGACAGAAATTGTGTAAGAAAGTAGCTTTAAGTCTACCTGAAATTGCAAACATAACAATTTTGGCAAATAAACAAACATTTGGTAAAAGTGAATTATCAAAAATTAAAGACTTCTAGAAAGTAATATTGCGGCAGTGCTTGTAGTATTATGTTTTGGTCTGAAGGGAATATAGAGAGCCAGTATAAATACAGAATAATATACTTTTGCATAGGTGTTGATGTCTATAAAATGTTTGCAGGTGTCATAGCCACTTACCATCAGGTGGGCTATAAGTTTGTTTGCCACTTCAGTTTTATGAATATTTATAAAAAATAATTAAAGAATAGGAAGAAGAAAGAAAAAGATTTATCGACCAAATCGGCGATATATTGAAAATGAGACAAATTGGAGTACCTTTGACCAACAAACATTTATGAGTATATTTTTTCATTATTTATATATTTTTATCATATTGGATCGTGCCAAATGGAAGTCCATAGTCTCTACCTACCCCTCTGGGTGACGGGTCTAAGTGTTTATGATGATTATATATTAATGACAGAGCATGAAAAACAGTCTTTCACTCTACTTTGCCACATTATTCATCAGCGCTAACTTCACTCATTTAAGTCATATATCGTCGGCTAAGAGTATAATAATAATAATAATAATTTATTTATTTCTCACCACGAACGACATGGAAGATACATTAGTGTTACATCTCTATTTTAACAATATTTTGTCATTCATGGGAGACTGGTGCCCGTGTAGGTTCAAAGACCCGTATTACGGGTCACCAGCCCCCCCCCCGAATTTACTTGGCAACAAGTATAATATTATAAAGAGATCACTTATGTTTTGGTTAGAAATATTATTATATAGAGAAAAAAATATAAAAAAACACGTATTCTTTTAGCGTAAGTATGAGAGTTTGTGACTGTTAGCATGTCTGCGTGTGTCTGTGAATATTTATGAGATAATTTGGAGTAATTGTTCAGTATCTGTGTATGAAAGAGTCTGAAGATATTCCACGAGTCTATTTTTACATGACCATCTGTTGACTTCATAAATAGACAAGTTTTGGTGTAATTTATTATATAAATACGGACCCAAAAAAGTAAAGAATTTCCTAGCAAAAGATGTGAAGAAAGGCACTGACTGAGCTACCAGATGATTACGGCGGCAATGTTCCTTTTGAGTTATTTTTGAAATTGTATGTTGTCTTAAAACTATATGTAGCACAAATAGTTGTCGAACTGTAAGAACTTCGCTAATTCTATACAAATCTAAAGTTGGATATAAGTAGGGTTTAAAATGGATAACTTTTAAAAGTGATCTTTGCGCACGCTCTAGTTCAACAATATGTGTTTTGGCTGCACCACTCCAGACTTCAATTCCGTATGTTAATAAAGATTGACACAAAGCATAATAGGCCAATTTTAGGACTTCTCTATTAGCAACAAGTCTTAATTTTTTAAATATAAAAATCAATTTACGCACTCTACCACATAGTGTTTTAATATGAGAACGGAATGTTAAGGTGTTGTCAAATAATATGCCAAGATACTTGATACTACCTATGAGTCTTCTCTAAAACGGGACAGGAACAATCTAAAGTGTTAGAATTAGCACAACAGTCAGCAATGACTTTATGCGCGTCTCCAGGTAAGGATGAGGTACGGATTGCAAAAGGCATATATTTAGTTTTCTTACAATTTAGAGTTAGCAAGTTCTTCCTAAGCCAAGCACATACCATATTAAACCCAACCTGAGATTGCCGGAAAACATCCTCCCAGGTGCTTCCAGAAAAAAGGAGAGCTGTGTCATCAGCAAATGTAATTATCTTGCCATTGTGAAGATTAAGGTTACACAAATCATTAATAAAAATGAGGAATAGGGTCGGACCGAGTATACTGCCCTGAGGAACACCAAAGAAGACAGGAGAATCAGAGCTGATGACACTATTAGACATCTTGACACACTGACATCGGCCACTGAGATAGCTAGAAAATAATGTAAGTTGACGGCCTCGCTCGCCACTATCCTCAAGCTTTTGGAGCAACAGTTGAATTGAGACGGTGTCAAAAGCTTTCTTTAGATCGAGAAAGATGGCTAAACTCTTTCTACTCCTATCGAAGTTTGGCGTAATATAGTTGATAACCGAAAGTAAAGCATCTGATGTTGATTTTTTTGCACGAAAACCGAACTGGATTGATAATAAATTCTTTTGCTCTAGGTAGTTCACTAGTCTAGACTTTATGATTTTTTCAAAAACCTTAGAGATTGACGGCAGTATTGATATAGGACGATAATTATTAGGTAGACTTTGATCGCCATTTTTGTAAATTGGATGAACCTTAGCTTTTTTCAGCACCCTTGGAAAAACACCTGCCGTCAAACACAAGTTGATAATAAATGTCAGAGGAGGCACTAGGATGTCTTTGTACTTTTCCAGAAGACCAGTGGAGATACCATCCCATCCAACAGCTTTATCTGATTTTAAAGCAATGATAATCCGTTCAATTTCTTCTTCGTCTGTATTTAAAAGAACGAAAGAGTTTTTTTATTAAATTAGGACTTGAAACCGCAGAAGTAGCATGGGTTGAGATAGCTGTCGTCTGGTCAAATTTTTCAGCAAGGATTTTGCCAGCATTGATAAAGAAGGAGTTAACTCTATCGGCCGATTCACATGGGAATGGACACAATTGTAATAATTCGTGGTTGGTGCCTGGTGTTGTTCTAGAGCTAGTATTGGTAACTTGGTTGATTGTCTCCCAAATACGTTTTGAGTCTTTTCCAGCCTCAGCAAATTTATTTCTTTCATAATCGCGTTTAACACTCTTGAGCAAAGAATTGCAATAATTTCTGTTGCGCTTATAGGTTACTTTGATAACCACGTTATCGGGTGATTTATTAAACTTTTTGCGTAAGTTGTCCCTATTTCTGAGACACTTTAGGAGTCCTGGGGTCATCCACGGCTTAAGAATTCTGCGCCTGCGGGATGGGATATAAGTTATAGTCGCGTAGGAGATGGAGTTACGTATAGCATTTATAAAATATTCCATCGCAGAATCGGGGTCATCTAAATTTAACAAGCTCTCAAAATCTACACTTAAGAGACTTTGACTCAACTTTTCTTCGTTTAACTTGTGAACACACTTAGGTGGAATGTACTGTACTTTCTTTGAAAGAGAGAGTATCACCGCAAAGTGATCAGTCACAGTGGCTTCAACAACAATAGTAAAAGCTGGGTAAGTGGTTTTGAGCAGAACATGTACAAGGCACGTACGATTGTGCGTAGGTATTAAATGGGAGGGAAGAAGACCATGTTCAGCAGTCAAATTTAGATATGCAGGAGAGTTAACATCAGTATTAGGGGAGATATATCAATGTTAATATCTCCCACCAAAATCACGTTTCGAAATGAGCTTAGACTACTAAGTAAAGTATCCAACGATTGAAAAATGAGTCAGTTTGTTTACGCAAGGCATCACGTCTATAAATTGCTAATACGGCGGTATCTCTACCTATTTTAATTAAGAGGGAGCTTGAATCTAAGAGCTGCGGTTCCTCCACCGATATCCTCTCTATGTTATTTTTTGTAAAAACTATCACACCATCATTTTGGTTATATGGATTCGTAGATGCCACATACTTATATCCCTGCAAAGAAGGAACACAATAATTAGGTACCGTAACCAACATTCGGTAAGTACTATAATGTCAAACTCGATATTAATTCTTGTCAGTAACAATAGGAAACCATCAATGTTAGCATTAACACTACGAATATTTTGGCAAATTAATTTAAGTGACTTAGAGCTGGGGGCGGGAGAAGAATAAAGAATGGAGATTAATGAGAATGTGTTAGAGTGTTTGCTTGTGTAAGTGTAGTGTAAACCTGCAAAGTGTAAACCTGCTAACTCCGCTTTTGGTCCAAAATTACATTTTTTATTCCATCTGAAAGAGAAAGATAGGGCACATGGACTTGTAAAACCAGCTAAACTCACTTTAAATGTTAAATCGTTAAAAAGGGCGAAGCGTAAAACAGCTAAATCCATTTCATTAAAATTGCGCGGCTAACTCTATGATTGACGCCATTTTGTATTGAGTCTTCGGCGTCACAATGTTCGGTGCAATAAAAAAAGTATCGGTAATTTTTTACAGTGATGGGTGCACTTAACAAAACAGAACAGCTATCTTGGGTAATGCATTACTTACTACAGATTTGAATAAAAATATTGTGATAGAGCAAAAATTCCTCGAGGAGGTCCTCCATTTGCGTGGGCACACGCAATTTTCTCAATTCGATCATAGAGCGGGCTTTAAAAAACAAAGATATTCATGTACCAGCAGAGTATACAACATGTAATATAATTAACGCACTTTGAGAAAGTAGTTTGTTCAGAATCGATTCCTATCATTTTTAATATAGGTAATTTTTTATCCCAAATATAATTAAAACTACGTAAATTACAATCACACTAAATCTGTACAGTCAAAACAAACTGAAATGGACCGTAACTTAAGGCAATAAGACTTTTAAGAGTGCAGTTTTATTTGTATTATTACTAAATATTTTAATTTTCCGGAATTAGTATAACTAATTTGATAAATAATTAGTGCATAAAAATGTTTAACTAAAAATTCAGTGTATGTATTATGATTATAACATAATATACTAATTGGGGTGTCTGAGGATGTGCGTTAATTACGTTACATATTGTATATCCATCTGTAGATCTGCAAGGAAACAACCGCGTGCATAGTAACTAAAATACCTTTAAATTCTTTAAAAATTCTATGAGGTTCAATTTTATAAAAGCATTCGTCCTGGCCGATCGAAAGGAGATGCTCATGTTACAGATATTAGGGCTTTTGGTTACACTCCAAATGGAGATATTTGTTATAAACTTAGATTCCCAGACGAGTGGAAAATATTACCACAAAGAAAATCCTCATCACTTATGCCTGTGTCATTTACTAGTCTACAAAATGTATACATTGACATGCCAAAAATTAGCGCAAGAAAGTTCGAGGATCTTCAATACTTGAAATACACCTTAACTGAAGATTTTCGCTCTTATTACGATAGTTTACCTCATGATTGAAACAGTAGGACAAAGCGATAATAATGGGTGTCGGTCATTTTATATAAGAACATTTGCTCTATTTCTATAACGCTAAAATGACATAACGCTTAATACATCTAACAACATTTTACATAATTTTGTTACAACATTTGTTACAACATTCATTATGTATAATAATTAATAATTATGTTATAAAAACACTTTCTCTAATGTTCGTTTACTATATTTTCATTTAGTATAAACTTTCTTTTGATCGAAATATCATTTTTTATAACCATCATTTGATTTAACCACAAGAAATGAAAATTATGTCAATCATTATTATATTATTTGTTGTTATATTTAAAAGAAAATATCAAACATTACACACCCGATAATAACGAGTAAGTACTAAGAAAAAGACGAATAATATTTAGTTTTTTTTATTTCGATTATAATTTTATGAAAAGAGAATTTCAGATATTTAAGTTCTTTTGTTCCATTTTTTGTTTTGTCAAAGATTTTTGATAACAAGACTGATCAAAGTATTAGCCAAAAATGTAACTGTGATAAAAGATGATTAATAAGAAATAAATAGACTGATTAACGAAACAATTCAAGTTATTTTACCTATCCTTGAAATCTTTCGAAAAACCTGCTATGTCCACAAAATAAAACTTTTCCAAAAATACACCAACTGTTTTTTTGGTTTTAACCTAAAATTGTAAAATTCCAATTTATTAAGTTTTATTTCGCTCCTGTAGATTAGGGTTAAACTGAGTGAGCAGGTTTACACTCGACTAGTTTAGACATAAGTATATACATACATACATACTTTTCTTAAAGGCAATGCTTATACTTACCATGTTGGACGGGTTAGTGGGAAGAGAGCATATTTGCATTCTTATTACTCTGTAGTATATAAGATTTGGGTTCGGCATATTTGGATGCGCATTCCACCTTCAGAGTTTAATCAGGGCTTTGTCCATTAGCCAGCCAGCAGGGTTTTTGAGCAGGCTAATTTATTAACTATTATTTATTTTTCCTTTAATATTAATACTAACCCTGAAAGTATCCCCTTTCTCTCCTTCATGACCATAATCAGCTATCAATGCTAAACCACCATATTCATCAACGCGATGTGCCAACTGCCGAGCTATTCCTAAGCTTCTGGCACTAACTTCTAATTCTGTTCTGTCTCCGGCATCTAATGGAGGCCTGATCAGGACTTTAGCCGACTGTGTTTCCTTTCCCGATATTCTATAATAGAGCTTCCCATTTTCATCCATATCAATAAGAAGCTCTCTCCAACCATCTTCTGTTTTCTAAAAATGTTATAGTCTGATTACGACAAAGAAAAAATTCTACAGTTAACAGATATTAACATAGGCCAGTCCTAAATCAACATAAGAAATATATTATTGTGTGTTAATAAGTTGACTACAGTGCAACCTATCGGATCCTGCATTGTTATGTACTGTCAACTCGGAAAAAGAAATTAATAATTATTGTGTCAATATGACCTCAAATATTCAAGTTGTTTCTCAAGTTATTTTAAAGTCACACACTTTCTAACAGATACACCAATAATTTAAATACAAAAATGAATTGGGCTACAGAAAGGGCTTGAATGCTTCCCTGCAAGATAAGTTTTGTAATGAGAATATACACAGTAGAACCAGAGTAACACAATAGATTAGTAAGCAGGTGTGGCAATAGGCACGCCATATATCCCGAAGAACCGACAACTGACGGGGAAGACATTTGGTTTATTATGTGCTAAGATATGCAGGAAGTGAATAGGTACTCGGTGGCTCAAGAACTTGCTTTGTGTCATTCACGGGTCAGGCCATACTCAGCAGTGAACTTATAATAAAGATGAGGAAACAAAGACAAAAATATAAAAGTAAGAAAAAGTAAGTTGTTTCTTATTACAACTGTTATATTTTTAAACTTTGAAGCCTAAATAAGCTTACCTAGTTTAGTGGCTACTTTTAACTATATTAATTGCTACTGATAACTGCAACCAACTTCAGACAAACAAGGCTACAGAAGCATTTGAGAGATGGCTTCTGAGGACTCATGAAAAGTTTTACAGCCTGTTATTATATTTGGTATTAAACTGAAACAAAATAGTGGATATACTGCTGCTTGGAGGCAGATAAATGTAAGAGTGTGGTATCTGCCCAAACAGATTATATATTTATAGTATACTAGCTATCTGACTTCGCACGGGTGATTTCTGTATCTTGATGACAGTGCCAACTATAGGTTCAAATTTTGAATCTAAACCATTCTCGAATCAACTTAATAACACACTAAATTTCATCAAAATTGTTCCAGCAATTAGGGAGTTCAGTCCATACAGATGGACAGAAGTATTATGTAGTGTATATATATATACATATATATATATATATATATATATATACTTTTATATATATATATATATAAAGATTTAATACTTACTTCAAACTTATGAACTGGAAGAACATCAAAGAACTCATGAGCCACAAACCATGAGAAATTGTTGGGAACTTTCTTTAAGTCATTGTACCAATATACTTTGATACCACTTACAGTTTCACCCTGAAATATTAAATTATGAATCATGTAAATGCAACGGAAACCTGTCCAATATAAAACTTGCATAAAGATAAGTTTATAAGTATTAGGACACTATTGAAGCTATATTATGCTTGTAGCATAATGGGATGGGATGGGTAGAATGGGAAAGGACCGCACTTTCACATGTTACCAGTGTGAAATAATAGCTTAATGCTGCTGTGTTTCGTATCTGGAGAACTGGAGACCCTTATTACTAGAAATAAGCCATTCCATCTTAGTCCTCAGGTGAGAACTCATTCTTCATTTTGATTCTTCATTGAGGATAGATTTAGATGTCTATGGATCATAGCATCAAACTACTGTGAGGTGGACTGTGTGCTAATTTGTTATCCTCACTGTATAAAAAAAATCAGCAAAACTTTAAAACCTGAAAACATTTATAGTGGTAATAATTTTTTAAACTATTATATGTTTTAAGCAATTATCATATCTTTATAACAAGTGTTGGTTATATTACAATACTAGCTGTCCGCAACATCATCATCATAAAAGCCCTTAGCGAGTACACTGCCGAACATAGGCTTCACTCAAGGAATGCCACAAAGCATGTTCCTAAACTACCTGCATCTATCGATTTTGCATCTCCCACTTTGCTTACATGCATACCCATAAATATAGCCCTCTTTCTAGTGCAATTGGGTAATAACATTATCTAATATTAAAATGTCGTAGCTCTATATCTATAAGACCATAATATCTTACAAGCATTTCCCTTAATCACCTCTTGCTATGAAAATCGGCTTTAATGATAAACATGGCACCATGATGATACCATGGATGAAAACTGGAACATAAAAATAATTCTTCAAAATGTATACCTATAATATTACATAATATATTAAAATATTATATAATATATTAATATATCTTTACATATATAAATTACATGTCACATTGTTTGTCCGCAATGGACTCCTAAATTACTTAACCGATTATGATCAAATTTGCACACCGTGCAATGAAAATGCAGTTTGGTCCAACCTGAGAGATAGGATAGTGTTTTTGCCCACAATTATTTTTTTGCGAATTTAAGGATTTTTAATAGGACATGACAAAGGGTCATCGAAAAGGGCAGGACAACATCTGCCTGGCAAGCTAGTATAATAATAATATTATGTACATACATATTTTTAAATAATAAAACTACATTTTATTTTTATAATAGACATCTTAATACAAGTTTAGCAAATCCCTCACCTCATAGTAGTAAGGTAGCTCAATATCAGTAGCTCTGTGAGTAATGCATAACCTCCTTGCTTGTAAGGACTGCATTGTATCTGAAATTTCCACCAGGTGTAATGAGACATCATCTGATTTGTACCCAAAGCGGTTGAGTACCTACAACAATACAGAGGCTATTTTAATAACAGTCCATATGGATAAAGAATGATATTAGAAATGACAGCTCATTATTAACATGCACAGTACCAATAGTGAGAACCCGCTAATACCGGTATATTGTAATATTATTCAGTTAATTTGGGATTGGATGGAAATAATGTTATACATATAAGTAGGTAATTAATCCCACTCTGGCTTTGCCTGGGTGGGATCTATTAATGTGATGTTATTCAGACCTAAGATAATCATTAAAAACCATTTTTTTCTTTCAATATTCCTATTTTAATAAAGTCTCTAAATTATTCAGATGGAATTTAGTCTAGATCACTCCTGGTATTACTCTCTTTCTTTTTTTTTAAAAAAAATATATTTGTTATCTTCTTTCCCATTTTTGTTCTTGTTTGAAGTTATATAATGTATGAAAATCGCTCATGGCAATATATTATTATTGCAGTCTTTACCAGCAGGTGTGAGTATAGATAGTGACAGCGTGCCAGCAAGAAGTAAATAGAGGCGATGGCATTTACAAACCCATTTATAACCACACGGGTAGTAGATTACTTTATATTATACTGTATATAATCAAAAAACGCAAAAGTAACCAAATTTAAATTTCCACTGCTAGGTACAGATTTCTTATTTCAGTGAGGCTTATGAAGAACTTCACCTGTCATATGCAGTTTCCTCACAACATGTTTCTTCAGAACCAGGCTGAATTAAATCCACACTAAGTTACAATTAATAATTTTAGTAGAGCTGTAATGATTGATGAACTTGTGGTGTACATGAACTAAGGAATTTACACCAAATATTTTATATGTATAAATCAATTTGACTATATTTGTTCTATGTTACCTCAGAACTTTTTCTAGAATTCAAAATTCAAAAAATTCAAAAATGTTTATTCTCTAGCAATAAATTTACAATCATTGCAGTATATTAGAGTTCTCCTTTTAAGTATTTTTAAATACTTGTGACAGGAAAACTCGCTCTTCCTTAATTAACATACAATACTTTAGTTACAAGAATAACATAATATTCCTTTCCTAAAATAATTATGAAAAAAATATGAAGATGTGTATATGGGCGCGCGCATGTGTGTGTGTGTGTGTGTGTGTGTGTGTGGCGCGTGTGTGTGTGTGTGTGTGTGTATGGCGTGCGTGTGTGGGCTGCGTGTGTTGTGGTGTATGCGTGATTTGTAAGCCGTGTTATATTAACAAATTTTCTTTTTCATGATAGTCTTTCCATTTGAGCCATTCAATGAGAATTACCTTCCATTCTTTACTTGTTTTAGAACAAATATTCAATTCATTATTTAAGTAGTTATATAAATAAGAGGACTTTTTTGCCTGTTGCCGTCTAGCAAATGCTGTTTTAACCGGATCACTTGGAGCTACGTTAGTTTTCCTCCTTTTATTTTCAATTTCAGGGTTATATGCAAGGGACTTGTGTACCTTAAGAACTATATTTAATATGTATAACTTACGAATAACTGTAAGAAATAAAGAAGAAACGATTTTGATGATAATTTAATAATGACTCCTTCTTCTTAAATTAATAATGCATATTTAATTAACTTGGACTACAATGACAATGTTTTCATTTTATTTATATATGGAAGACTGTTGTACAAAATTTTTAATTTTACCACTTATTTGAATTAAGTATCATCCAAGATAAATTAGTGTTTGAAGAAAAGAATAATCCCACTCAATAATTATAGTCTGAGTACCTTTAATAATCATTTGACAAAAATAGAAAACCAATAAGATTTTTATATTACCCGTAGGAAATCCACCATTAATGTACCATTTCCTGGTCCAAGTTCTACCAACTGAAGTGGTTTTCCGGGTCCCATTTTCTGAGTTTCAGCGTAAAACCAAATAGCGAGAATCTCTCCAAACAGTTGACTGATTTCAGGTGAAGTTATGAAATCACCTACTTCTCCTATAACATCCTTTTTCATATAGTATCCTTCCGTAGGATTTGTTGAAATGATATGCATATACTCAGCTACTGTCAGGGGTCCGTTTAATCGCAATTTTTCTTTGATAATTTCCATCAAACTTGGCGCAGACCCTGGAGTTGGCATTTTTAATGTACTTGGGTCAGGACGTTTTATGATTTTATAACCTTTGCTTCTTCGAAAAAACTTTGAGAGAATTATCGGTGCAGTACATGTTCGATACAATAATCCAGTATTCATTTTATGTTTGGACTTACTTTGTGATTGATTATACTTTTATGAAAATATGAAATTCCCACACAAACAAGTAATTTTTTATATTAGGTATAACTGGCTTTACGGCTCTGGGTTCTAGCCCTTTTGAGCCTATTATTTCTTTGTAATCTTCGTTTTTATATGTTTTTTCTTCACACTAAAGCATAGCCTGCCTGTCTCTGAAAATTTGTAGAATTTATAGCCGCGCTGCCGTCCATAAGTAGTATTTGCGAAGTAATTTTTGACAAAAAGAAACATTAAAAAATGGTGAGATATTATAAATAAAATAGTAATTATAATAAATCAATATTAATTAAAAATTTATATTTTAACATTTTATAGTATTTATAATAATTAAAATTAAAAAATACATAATTTATAATTTATTTATTGATAAATAATAATAATTTTGTTATTTTATTTTTTCTCTTTGTATATATTATAATCATTTCAAACTAGCCCACAACAGTCCACTTTTATTGAGACAACTTAGCGATCGCAGTGCCTCACTTATTTGGTCCATATTCCTGGGACACTATTTTCTACAGCGATCGTTCTCCTGTTATTTAACCTCCAAAACTTCGCTATGTGACGCATCAGTTCCACTCGTGATCCGTCAGTCTATGGACCTATTAGTCAGACCCAAAAACTAATAAGAGTACTAACGTAGTCAGACCTATGGTCAAGCCAAAGATTATAGTAGGTTTGGCCAAAGACAATTTTTTAAATGATTATTTGTATGAAGGTCAAGTTAGCGCTAGAGAAACGATTGTAAGAGGTTGTTGACAAATAAAATGTTTAATGAAATAGTACGGTAAAAATAGAATTTAACATTGCACGAAATTTCCGATTCAATTTTATTTTTTTATAAGGCTTAGGATCACTTATTCAGAATAAAATCACAAAATGCCGACAAATCCAGGTGGCGCTTCAAGCGCAATCTTGAAAAAAAACGTTTTCAGCCGATATCTCGGTAACTATGCATTGTAAGGCAAAAGTTATTTAAACTATTACTGTAGAAAATAAAATTTCGCATCTTTTGTTTCCGTTAAACTTTTTTGTAAAACTTACCATTTACGAATTATGTCCCATTTAATGAACAGGTGGCGCTTCAAACGCCATCTTGAAAAAAGGTTTTCAGCTGATATCTATCTATATGATATTTTAAATACTGGCCATAATTCTATTAACTAATAAGATCACAATTTTATATTACACTATAAACCCTTCACTGTTGCTCGTATGAGGAAGCTCAAAGTCGCTCAGCGAGCTACGGAGACGACTATGTTCAGGGTTTTCTGCATGACAAACTTAGAAATAAGAATATCCGCAGTACCTAACTGACACAGCCCAACAGATTAGAAAACTGAAGTGGCAATGGGCTGGCCATATAGCTCAAAGAACAGACAACAGATGGGGAAATAAGGTTCTCGAGTGGCAGCCTCGTACCGGTAGGCGAAGTGTAAGGCGATCCCCCAGTAGATGGAGTGGTGAGCTGGTAAGACATGCAGGAAGTCAATGGATGTGGGTAGGGTAACTCAGGATAGTGCTTTGTGGTAATCCTTGGGGGAGGCCATGTTCAGTAGTGGACTTGTGAAGGGTTCTAATAAATGAAAAATCACTAAAAATCACTTTTACCAACGCAGAACTTATGCGGACTATGATGATACCCCTACGTTCGCGCTACGTTGCTTACGCATACATTAGTACTCTTATTAGTTTGTGATTACACATGTAGACCATTGTATCGACACGTTGACAATTTTATGGTATGCGTAAATACAATGAACCCAAAAACCAAAAGCTGTAGTGTGCGTATATAGTGACGCGATTCAATTTTGCACTTGTAGTGAAATATACAGTAGTGTCTTTTCCTCGTCTCCCCCAGAAAGTGACAGACTTTTTGTTTAGGAATTAACGCGCATGGCTTCTCCAGCTGGTTGAATACTCAAGGGTTTTCGAGGATAGATGTAGATGTCTATGGGCAACATACCATCAGGTGGACTGTGTGTTCGTTTGCCAACCTTCTTGATCTTGTGAATTAAACGTCTGCCTTAGTCTTGTGCCTCCTCGATCGTTTTAAAGATTGCTTCATACTAGGTTTTTTCGGACAATGAACTAGTTCGTTCTAATAGTTCTATTAGCACTATTCGGTCAAGAGTAGTAGTAAGCAGTTTAAACTGTATCTGTATGTATGGAATGACTATCTCAGTCGTTCGATATCTACTCGAGTCTATACACTACTATCTACACACGCACACACGCACTGTTATACGGGACCTCGTAATTTAGGTTTAAAAAAAAAACACTTTTATTTCACAATAAGAAATAGTAATATTTAAATATAGAAAATTAAGAAATAGTAAAAGTTACAATATTTAATTGGCCCTGAGTCGAAACTGGCAGACACGCGAGGAGACAGAGAGAGATGTTAGGGATTCAGCGGTCGGGCAGAGACTGACTACTCACCGGGAGCGCGAAGCAGAGCTACGTTTAAGTGATGTCATGACTAGTTAGTGGAAATCTATATAATCAATTATTATCCAAGACTAAGGGTTTTCCCTAGCGTTGGGAAATCGTAACAGCTCCCCGATTTAGAGTAAACTACACCCTTAAAAGTGGATTTTAATTTTAATGAAGTATGAGTTAGCCGATTCGAAGAGAGGGTCCCGTATTAACGTTTGAGGGGTTAATGTCATCTAATTCAGTGTCATAATTTTCAGGAGTTTTATTTACTCTAGATTTCATTATTTTCTTGTGTATGCCAGTTTCATACATCTTACAAACAATAAAGCACAAATTAAAACTACTTTTACGGATTTTATCACGTTTTATTAAAACGCGATAAAATCCGTAAAAGTAGTTTTGATCAATGTATAGTGTTCGCGTAAATATAAGAAATCATTAAATAAAGCACAAAATAAAAATTATGATTACAATTGTGATACCTGAGTAATATTTTTGATATAGAACAATATGTGGTTTTTCAATTATATTTTTAAGGCTTTTCAGAATTTCAGGATCATTATAAGCTAAGGAATCTAAGTTAACATTCTTGAGATTAACTACAGGTAAGTTTGATACAATATTATTATAAGCTACAATATTACAACAAGAATCATTTAAAATATTAAAATTAGGTACAATGGGTTTCAGTTGAATTTCATGATTTTCACGTGGTGTTAAACGAGTGTCCTTACAATAGGCGATACATTCAGGAGGTAAGTACAATATACCGTTTCCACTAAATTCAATTTCAGTAACTTGAGTTATTACATTCAATACTTATTTTAGTTTTTTCAGACATTACAAATAACCATCTATTATAACGTTGTGGCTGCCAGATGCTTACGTGACCATGAATGAATTTGGTTTCACAAATCGAAGGGATTGAGGTAAGTACTTTTGTAATAATTTCGGTTTCACAGGAGGGCGTCGCGGAAGAAGAATATAGTACTGGTTTTTGACAAAGGTAATGATCATTTTTGATTACTTTATAATAGTCTAAATTGTCTAACTTACAATACATTGATCTATCTCTGCTTATACCAATATATTTAGAGGATGGGATGATGGTCGAATACAACTCTGGGTTATTTTTATCATGAGGGACTAGTGAAGGTAAGTTATGATATATGCTCAAGTGTATAGGATTAATGAGAGGGATTTTTACTGCAAACACAATTTTTTCTTTATTGCAGTCCTAGATATTTCTGATATATTTAAAATAATGTGCATGTTATCGAGATTTAAAGGAACTGGAAACTGTTTGGATTCGGGTAAGAATCTGTAGTTTTCGACTAATTCGGTGTACGGTTATTTAGGTGTTAGGATAGTGGGATATAGAATATTAGATTTGCTAAACATGATAGCATTAATTATGTATTCAACTTTAAAGGACAAAGCTAGGAGACTATTTTCTATCATGGAAGTTAATTCCAGCATGCGAGATCTAATACCTAGTTCCTTTGAGACGTAAGTCAGATTTAGAATGTCTTGGGACAGTCCATCAATTGCATTTTTCAGATTTTTTCATTTAGCTTAATTTTGTACAGAGTTTCATTAAAAGATCTAAGCGAAGAAGTAGTGACTAATATATTTTCCTTCGTCAGGAGGGCTAGTTTCTTTTTCTCTGTTCCTACCTCTGCAATGGCATTGTCGTATCGGATGGCGTCGTCTTCATCCATTGTGCTGAATAACTTTTTTGATACAGTGCCTACGAATCCTAGAAGTGCGGACCTTTTTGACTGGCGAGATGTAAGATGAAAAATGGCTTCGCTATCATGGGCTATGTCATTATAACGGGTGTTCAGCGGTTCAAAGAGATTAGTACATTCTAAACGATCAAAGACTTTGCCACCATTACATACTTGTTTGAATTTATCAAGGACAAGACGCAGGTTTAGAATATGTGGACTAATAAAGGATACATCTTATGGAATAACTACTGAAAAGGAACCAACGGCTGTGTAAACGTTCAACAGAAGGGAGGAATCGAGGCTTCTCTCGATCCGGTCTTCTATAACGCCTACGTTGGGTTCGGGAACAACGTATGTGATCTCCGCAACGGAGTAACACACAAGGGCGATAACCTCTTCCTTTTCAGCAAATAGGTTCAGGCAGGGATTACGGGTCTTCCGAAGTCGTCCCAGTCCCAACGCCTTAATTCTTCGATGTGGACTGTATAATTTTGAGGGATGAATTTCTTGGGAATAAAACAGAAATTATCTTCAAACCGTTCCGTGAGAGAGTAATTACTTTTCCCTATCACTTCCCTACACTTTTTCTTTCTTCTTATTGACTGCTGGTCTGATTCCCGAAGTTTCTCCGAACTTTCCCGAAACTTCCCCGAACGATTCTCGAACGAATTG